TGGAGGCCACACCATGACTCTCTCTCCTTTTATCCCCATAGCAGCCAATGATGCAGAGGTATTCTTTGCAGCATGAGATGGTGCATTGTCTCGCATGAAGATGATTTTATTACGGAAAGCATAGTTCTTCCTTCTGTTCCAGGGAAGAAAGTGGTCAGTCATAAACTCCACATACTTTGCAGAGGTCATCTTTACACCTTCGGGGACCCTAAAGGGGCCGACCAGATCTGTTCCCATGATTCCGGCCCAAAACATGACCACCACTACCTTGCTGACGTCGCAGCCTTGTTGGAACAGGGTGGCCGTCCACCAACCATCCACTACTCCATCCATCTGGACCATCCAGGGTTGCACGGCACTCATCAGTGAACACGACTGTTTGAAAATTAGTCTTCATGTATTTTTCTGCCCAATGCAGCCGTTTCTGCTTGTGAGCATTGGTTAGTGGTGGCCGAATAGAAGGTTTATGCACAGTTGCAAGACTCTGGAGGACTCTACACCTTGATGTCCGTGGGACTCCAGAGGCACCAGCAGCTTCAAATATCTGTTTGCTGCTATGTAATGTTATTTTAGCAGCTGCTCTCTTGATCCGATGCATGGATCTGGCAGAAATCTTCCTCAATATGCCTTTATCTGCACGAACCCGTCTGTGCTCTGAATCTGCCACAAATCTCTTAATAGTGTGATGATCACGTTTAAGTTTTCGTGAAATATCAAATGTTTTCATACCTCGTCCAAGGCATTGAACTATTTCACTCTTTTCGGCAGCAGAGAGATCATTTTCTTCCCCATATTGCTTGAAAATGGTGCTCTACTTAATAATGTGGGACACCCTCCTTTAGTAGTTTTTCCTTAAATTGGGCTCACCTGCCAATCTAATTATCACAGGTGTCTGAGATTGTTTTCAGTGATCAAAAGAGCCCTGAGACACAATGCCATCCATGACTTAAACTGAAAAACAAAATATTTAATCTTTGTGACACTTAAATAGAATTTGCATAATAATTTGGAACAGGGTGTATGTGTGTTGGAGTGCAATTAGGAATGCATTGTTATGTATATAAAGATAGTGTGTGAAAGCTGCAGTCAATGCAAATCTCTCCATCATTGAAGAAAAATGGCTGAAAAGTGAATAGAAATGCACTGTAAACTCACATGTAAACAATATTTATAAGGAGTCACCAATCAATTCACTAGGGGATAGTGATGTTACAGACAACCAGTATTCAGGACCTAATAGAGTTGATGGTTTTCAGTCTTGCCAAATCAAAATGGCTGCTAGTAGTAGTAGAGTCTTTCCTTGTTCAAACTTTTTATCGTTTTCAAAAACATAAAAAGAAACAGAAGTAGGATGATCCATGAACATATACAGGTTTGAGTCAATACAGAAAACATGTTGCCTTACAGGGAAGAAGAATTATTGCATGAAAACTTGTTACGAGGCACCATATAAAGACATGAAGGGACACTGTGGTACATGGGATGATAGAATCTAAATGTACAACAGAGATGTAGCGCTGTTCCCAATGACCAATTGGGTAATATATTAGTCTTTCAAGCAGCTGGCTGACACCACAAGTGGATGATGTCTCCTTCAGGATGTCTAATATATGCTGTACTAGAGGAACTCATTTATTTTCAGTCAATGATTTTAGCCCTCAGAGGCAAAGGTTACTCTTCAAAGGCGACATCACAGAACAACAATCACAGGCCATCTGAATACTAACCTTAGAAAGCTGCATATGGGCAATATTACAGGGGCATATAAAATCTTTTGAATTAATAGCCTACAAATATATTATCTTGCCTTAAAGTCCACCTCTGGGCAGAAAAAATTGATCCAAAGCAGTTGGGCTGTACCTGCACTGCAACAGTTAGTAGCTCCTGGCGTCCAGAAGAGAGGAGAAACTGTCTTACCTGATCCTCTGCTCCCCATGATCTGGAATCGGACTGTTCCTTAGCACCCTCATGTTCCTTAGCACCCTCATGCTATTGACCCTACTCTGGAGCATGGAAGTGCAGAAGCTGTGGGGACCAATCTAGTTGCAGGGAGGAGCAAAAGATTGAGTAAAGCTGGCCATATATTACACAATTTTCCCATAGAAGTCACTAAGGTCTTCTCTGAAGCCCGCCTCACCACCTGCCCCCTTGACCTTGTTCCCTCAACGCCTACGATCAACCCTCTTCCTCCATCCTATGCTCCCTCACACACATCTTTAATATTTCCCTCTCTATTGGCACATTCCCCTCCCCTCTAAAACACGCACACATCACTCCCATACTTAAAAAAAACCCTTCCTGGATCCCACCGACCTGAACAACCTTAGACCCATCTCCCTGCTGCCATTTACATCCAAACTCCTAGAGCGCTTAGTCTATAGTCGCCTGAGTTCCCACCTCACCAACAACAACCTCCTTGATCCCCTACAATCTGGCTTCCGCCCCCTACACTCCACCGAAACCGCCCTACTCAAACTCACAGACGACCTGCTAACCGCCAAAGCTAATGGCCACTATTCAGTGTTCCTACTCCTCGACCTCTCTGCGGCTTTCGACACGGTTGACCACCCCCTCCTCCGCAAACAACTACACTCTCGGCCTCAGAGACTCTGCTCTCTCCTGGCTCTCTATCCTATCTATCACAGCGCTCCTTCAGTGTTACCTATAACGATGCCACCTCCTCTCCACTCCCCCTCTCTGTTGGGGTCCCTCAAAGTTCTGTCCTTGGGCCCCTTCTCTTCTCCATCTACACCTCCTCCCTTGGTCAATTTATACACTCTCACGGCTTCCACTACCATCTCTATGCCGACGACACGCAAATCTATCTCTCTACCCCTCACCTCACCCCTTCAGTCTCTGCTTGTATCACAAGCCTACTGAGCAACATATCGGACTGGATGTCACTCCACTTCCTCAAACTAAATCTGTTCAAAACTGAGCTCCTACTTTTCCCCCCAGCCCGCGCCCCCCCCCCCCCGATTTCTCCATCAAGACCAACACCACCACCGTCAGTCCCTCCCCTCAAGCCAGAGTACTAGGTTTCATCCAAGACTCCAATCTGTCCTTCCAGCCCCAAGTCCATTCGCTGACAAACTCATGCAGACTTCGCCTCCGTAACATCTCCAAAATACGTCCGTTTCTAACCCAGGAAACCACTAAGCAACTCATTCACTCCCTCATTATATCACGCCTCGACTACTGTAACTCCCTCCTCATCGGCTTACCCCACCGCAGGCTATCCCCGCTTCAGTCTATCTTGAATGCTGTGGCCAGACTCATCCACCTTACTAACCGCACCGTATCCGCCACCCCTCTCTGCCAATCCCTCCACTGGCTTCCGATTGCCCAACGGATAAAATTCAAGATGCTAACATTGACTTATAAAGCTGATCAGAATACTGCCCCAAACTACATTACTGATCTTGTCTCCAAATACCACCCAAAACGTACTCTCCGCACCTCACAAGACCTCCTACTCTCTAGTTCCCTGGTCTCCTCCCATGCCCATCTCCAAGACTTCTCAAGGGCTTCCCCCATTCTCTGGAACTCCCTACCCCAATCCATCAGACTGTCACCTACTCTTATAACCTTTAGGCGCACTCTGAAAACCTATCTCTTCAGGGAAGCCTACCCCGCCCTCAGCTAATTACTGAACTCCTCCACTCTTCCTACCACTCCATCCCCCACAGCTATTTCCTCCTGTAGCACTATCCCCTCCCTCCTAGATTGTAAGCTCCAAGGAGCAGGGCCCTCGAACCCCTTGTGTATTGAATCGTATTGTTACTGTACTGTCTCGTGTACTGTCTCCCTTTATAATGTACAGCGTGAACAAACTGTTGGTGCTATATAAATACTGTATAATAATAATAATTTACCATTTCCTTCAGATTTAATCTCAACTATGTAGGGCAAGGGCCTGCCTGATTGGATACAAATTGAAAACACTGTTTACGTTTGACCTCATACTATATGTTTTTTTTGTAAATCTAGAGCAAAATTGTACAATAGGATTATATAACATATATGTAGCTTTAGTATATTTCCTTTTATTGTTTCCCCAGACATTAATGAGCAATTAACCCTTGCAGTGTGGACACAGCACCCCTGCAAGGGATACAGTCATTTCTTATTTGCCTGGAGTTTGGCTTTAAGAGAATCTTGCAACTAGTAACAGAAAACGTAATGGCAAAGGAAAACCGGTAGTAAGAGGAATTCAGGAGTATTCCTTGAGCACTCAAGCCAATTAGGAAAGTGTGAGAGTTGTTTATTTCAGCGTATGAGAAAAGTGTGGGAAGCTGGAGATCGTGATAGAGCAAGCACGTTAAACATACTGGTGACAGAAATCATAATTAAGATCTGTTGATGGCGATGTCCGATATAAAAATATATTTTGTTGAAAAGCATTAACACCTATTTATTAGCAATATACAAATCATACAGTCCATTAAACTGAAATTTCACCTTTACACCTTAAAACAATGACCCCATGTGTTCATACAGTGCATTCAGACACATACCTTACATACAATGTCCTCAGACGATTTGTATCATTTTCTTTCTACATGTTTTTTCTGTTCCGGTTTTATGTGGATGGGAACAATCTTTGGACCACCCTGCAAACAACACTTCTTTTCTAAGGAAGACGTAAGCTGCACTGTTCATAATTGGCTGTTATTAGCAATTACAGCCAGGTCTTATGATTTCACTGGCCATTTGTACCCTGTGGTTCACCAGTGTAGAGATCACCCACAGCGAGCACTAATATTTTGAAAACGTGAGCAGTGCCAGGACAAAGGACAGTGATTAGGATTCTCCTCCTCCTCAAGCCTATCAAGTCAAGTGTCTGTGGAGGTCTAAAAATGCCCATGGACTGAGCAGTCGTCATCAGATTAAGAAAAACTCGGCAGAGTTGGGCAATAATCATATAAAATCTACAGGTACCCCTTAAAATTTAATTTAAATGCGTCTTCCATTGTTGCAGCAAGTATTGTCTTATTTACCTTTGTTGTCCATAGCTTCACGGTCCAATCAAAAGAAGATGTGACAAACAAGTGGGAAAAGTCCACGGCTCCCACAGCAGAGTGGCAATGGATGCCTGTAATTGGTCCTTGGTGGCCTTCAAACATTTCACTTATTCCGGCTTTACTATAAAAATGATAAAACAAATTGGAGTCAAGACAGGCCTATTTTACAGTAAATACATTTGTTAGCAATATATATTGCGTGCTGGGTATCCTCTTTGTACTGGGTGTTGTGTGTGTATATTATATATCATTACCAAAACAGACAGTTACTCATACATTTAAATTCAAGCAGGACTAACACAATGCCTTAGAAGCCCTGCCTGGCCATTAAGGTGCTTCAAGTCTTTCTGCTGGTATGTTTGTGGCTAAATTTGTATTTAAAGTGTTAGCTCACCTTTAACCGCCTCCCGCCCGCCATAAAAGGTAATGAAGGGTGCAAGGCGGTTCTCTCGTTCTGGGAGGACGTCATATGACGTCCTCACACTCTAACCGTACGTGTGCAGCTCGGCGATCGGTGGCGAGTTGTGTCTCTCGGACACAGCGGACCACCGATCGACGGAAAGAGCCAAAGATGTCGGCTCGATCATCTGATCAGCTACGTCCAATCTCAGCTGATCATATGTAAACAGGGAAATGCTGGTTATCTGCATTTCTCTCCTCACGAGCTGTCACACTGACAGCTCGAGAGGAGAGGTGAGCTGGTAATCAGCATTCCTCGGAGGGGACATGTACACTGATCATCAGAATACGGATGATTAATGTGCCCCGATGATCAGTGTGGCCCCAGAAGTGCCACCAGTCAGTGCCCATCAATACCACCTGCCAGTGCCCATCAGTGCCACATCAATGCCACATATCAGTGCCTACAAGTGCACAAAAATGCCACATATCAGTGCCCATCTTAGCTGCCTTTCAGTGTCACCTGTCAGTGCCACCTATCAATGTCAATCAGTGCCACCTATCAGTGCTGCCTTTCAGTGCCACCTATCAGTGCCGCCTAACAGTGCCCGCCAGTGCCGCCTAACAGTGCCCGTCAGTGCCGCCTAACAGTGCCCGTCAGTGCCGCCTAACAGTGCCCGTCAGTGCCGCCTTGGTGCTTTTGGTTTAACAAAAATTAAAAAACCCAGAGGTGATTAAATACCACCAAAAGAAACTCTGTCTCAAAGTCTCAAAAAAATTATAAAAATGTCATATGGGTACAGTGTTGCATGACCGCCCAATTGTCATTCAAAGTGCGAGAGCGCTGAAAGCTGAAAACTGGCCTGAGCAGGAAGGGGGTATAAGTGCCCTGTAGGCTAGTGGTTAAAGAAAAAAATTAACAGGAGAACTAACAAAGTACCTTTCCTCACCCCACTGGTCCCCGCAGTACTTTCCTCCATGAGTACTAAGTTGTCAGTGCCCATGCAGCCAGGGCAGCAGTTCAGGGATTTGAAATCCCCCCTCTTCTCTGGGTGGCAGGATAGAAATTCACTTGATTCCCTCATCAACACAGTCAGTGTTGATGGGGGAATCCCTCCTGCAGAGCCACTGTGTTCTCTGGGCAGGAGGTGATCTTAACCCGCCGGGAGAACACGATTACTGCTAGCAACTATAATAGCCGCTAGCAATAATCGCATGTGAAATCCAACAGGCTGGTTGTTCTCAAGTTGATCGATCAATCAGTTGGGGTACATTCAGCCTGCCATTACATGGTTCAAATCTCATCTGATTCCTGCTGCACCAGCCGAGATTCGATCTATGACCAGCTTAAGTTCTGTATCACCACCTTATAGCAAGGGCATGTGTTATTCTAAATATTGATAGGAAGAGAATATGTGGGCGAAAACGTACAGCCTCTTACCTGCATATTTAAGATCGCGAGAAAAAGCAAACAGAAAGTTGAGAATTTATTAGCCAACTTGTATCTAGGTTGTTGCAAATGTTGGTTACTTAGCAGAGCCCGCAGTCTCCCTTTAAATTTTTAACAGTTCAGGTGATAAAAAGAGAATGCAGTCTCCCTTTAAATTTTTAACAGTTCAGGTGATAAAAAGGTAAAAAGAGAATGAACTAGAGCACAAAAAAAAGATGCTATGTGGAGAGCAGGTCATTTGGCTGCTTTTTGTCCTTCCTAAATGTGTCAATATCCTTAGACATTAATCCCTGGAGTTCATGCTGATGTGTCTAAGTGCCATCAGAGAGACCTCTGTCACGTGTGCTCTATTAAGATTTGATCCTACCTTCCATGGCGACATGCTGTGTACACGGAACCTTCTTCACTTCCCACTACAAAGTTATTGACATCTCCCACAGGGAAGGACATACAGGTGACAGCAACTGCCTTAGATTGCTTGTGAACCAACTCCATGCTGTCCTGGAAAGGAGGGACAGGCATGCATTTAGAGGAGCTGTATTACCATTATGAGCAGTAAATAGCTTCATTCAGAAAAGCACATTTAATACAAAGACAGGTTCAGGAAGCTTTTTTACAGCAAAGTAAAATGATCAACATTGAAGTTGTTCAGCTACCTGTGGTTGAGACAACATATCCAAGCTCCAGGAACAGATCTTTCCGTCTGTAGATATACTAATCAGGTTGTGGGCGTTCTGTGTGCCAACCACATTTACACAGTAGACTGGGTGCTGAAATAAACAACAGATTTAAAAGCTCTAGATGTTCATCTCATTCACAGAATAATAAATGTGAACACTGCACACTAGATCTCTTCAATGGTATTGAAAACTTGCAAAAAATCTAATTTTTGGTCAATTCTCCCTCAAATTGCTTTTTAAAGAGAATGTTTGAAATTAAATGATGTGCAAATGCAGCATGAGACCATGTTTTTATCCCATTTATTTAATTTAAAACATACAAGCTAGGAGCACATTAACAGGGCAGTAATTGTGATACACAACAAAAATTCAATGCAGGTAAACCAATCACTGTCCCTTAAAACATGCACCAGAAAGATTCACTTGCACATTCACGGTTTTATAACCATACCCTAGGTGTTGTTCCATTAGTGGCCACAATATCCTACACATGGCATGCAACATCGGAATTAGCAAGACCATTATGTCTGAAGTCAGGGTAGAACTTGCCCTACATGTTGCAATCTGAATATAAAATCTTTGTACAATGAACTTTAGATTTACAAAAACTATGTAATAAGAACATACCGCAACGATTCAATCAATTTGTATCAGACAGGCCCTTGCACTACATAGTTGTTGGTAGATGCAAAAGAGATCGTGCAGCCTGTACATTATGCTTTTTAATGTCAAACCAGCGGGCTGAACTAAAGAAAACGCCTCGCTGTGGAATTGTATTCCGACAGCGAGGAGCCTTCCCCACTGATAGAACACAATGATCAGTGTTGCCAGCTATAGCCAGTCGCACTGATCATCTGGGAAAAATAAGATAGGCTGGTTGTGCATAGATTGACTTGTGTACAACTAGCCTGCCCATACATGGATCAATATTCGGGCGGTCTCTGCTGAACCAGCCAAATTTTGATCCATGTATGGCCGGCTTTAGGCAGCATTTAGCACAAGACATCACTACAGTGATACAGGGCAATACAATTACAAATAATGACAACTACCATTTTTTCTATGTCTTTTAGTTATATTTAGTCTGCTTCAGTCACTGTAATTTATCTTTTGGAATTATGTATATATATTTATTTTTAGGCATATACTTTTTATATTCAAAATCACAGGACATCACAGCATAGCATTACCGCTCACTGACTGGTTGCTGCACATCATCACCGCTCACTGATTGTTTCCTAGAGGATACTGCATATCATTACCGCTCACTGATTGGTTGCTAGAGGTTACTGCACATCATTACTGCTCACTAATCGGTTGCTAAAGGTTAACGCACATCATTACCACTCACTGATTGGTTCCAAGAGGTTAACGCACATCATTACCGCTCACTGATTGGTTCCAAGAGGTTAACGCACATCATTACCGCTCACTGATTAGTTGCAAGAGGTTACTGCACATCACTACCACTCACTGTCTGGTTGCTAGAGGTTACTGCATATACTGAGCAGAGAATAACAAGGTAAAGTGAAGGCAGTATATCAGCACACCAAAGAGTTAAATTCACACAATGGTCTTTTTTTCTAATAGCAGTTTGCACTCACTTTTTCTCCTTGGCTCATGGTGTCTGTGGCAGGCGGCAGCAGTGACACCTATGCCTGACATCAGGCCATGGGGTCTCCTCCACTTTCATGGTCAGCTCACCTGTCGTTTCTGGCCCCTGGCTCCAAAGGCTGAACAGCTGCCTGTGGAGAGGCCTGGTGAGTGGAGCGGGTTCAAGAAGCAGTCCAGCTGCAGCAGCTGCTTTATGAGCCCCAAGGACATGCGGCCCGGAAGCTGAACTAAATGGTTGGGGGGTTGCTGGCCCCAGAGAGGCCTGATGAGCGGTGCGGGCTCAAGAATCAGCTCAGCAACTGCTTTGAGGGCCCCAAGGATATGCGGCCTGGAGCCAGTCCTGGCCCACCGAGCAGATAACCAGTATTCTCTGTAGCCAGTCTGGGCCTGGATACAGATGTCTCTTTTCTGAGTTCATAATTCTAGTTCTTCCAGTTGTGGCTGATATACAAAATATCCATAATAATTGTATGTAGGTCTGATTTTTGCTTAGATCACAAAGTCTCAGATGTTAGCTTGGTCCCAGACCCAATTTTCACAAGCTTAGATCAGAACAAAGTCTCAGATGTTAGCTGGTCCCAGACCCAATAAGCTGATTTTGCATCATTAGTGCAAGTGGGTCAAGCCTTTGGGGTAAAGCAAAGGGGTCTAAAATCAGAACACAACATTAAAGAGCTACTTTCTAAAGCAAATGGTTCACCCAAACATAAAATCTATGCACACTCATAATTATAATTACTGATATTTTTTATGTTGGGGGTCATAGCTATTAAAGGGTCACGGCATTAGGAAGGTGAACTGATTAGTGAACTGAACTTGAAGTTCACCTTTAAGGTGCACTTATGTGTAGTATTTTTACAGTAACAGATGCCAGCACAACGCTAGCCTGACAACACTGGTGTACGCATGGCACTGGTGATTAACATAAACTTACAGTGTGAGCAGCAGCTGAAAGTGGAGTCCTCTGGACTGGTGTCCTCTTGTTACTTCTGTTGTCCCATAACACGATCTGGCCGGAATACGTCCCACCAACTACCAGGTTGGGGTGAAACTTTGCAAAAGCTGCAGACATTACAGCAGACTAAAACATAAAAAAAACAACACTGATACATCAAATAAGGATATTTAAACATCCTTCACCATAACAGAATATCAAGAAAGAATCTATTTAGTCATTTGGTCAACACTGTCAAAGTGTACTTTATTATATCAAAACATTAGACTCATGGAAGACCATCCTCAAAGGCGGAGAGGAAAGCTTTCAGAAAATATGGTCTTATTGGCTGGACTTCCTCCTATAAATAGACATGAATTGTTTAGATCAATTTCCAGGCTGTTCTTGCGAGATGAATGTGGGTATTGCATATTTTGAAATGTAAAGCTCTAATCAAAAGAGAGGGAACTAAGAAGGGCATGACCTACCCTCTTAACCAGTCAGACTTGGTCTGACAATGAATATGCACAGCCAGAATTGGGTGCAAGGGGCAAGAACAGATTTTTGGAACACCTTTCCATGACTTGTCAGTTGGGTTCTTAAAAGCAGGCGCATCTTCCACAGCAACATGAGATGCCTTGTTGAGGCAAAACACAGCTGGATCTACTTTTCAAGAAAATCCTGACCAAATGGATTTAAAGCAAACAAGCAGGAAGGGGGAGAAAACAACCTATCAATGGTGCTTCCAATCTACTTACAGATACAACTGGAAAAGCAGGCACATAAGGAAAGATTTTGCCATCTTAAGGACCGAATATGACCCAAGGTTAGAAAGAGAATTGATAGAAGCAATGGTCTGATCACCTAGTCTCAGAGTGGTGTACCACAGCTTTAAAGGGTAACCACACTTATATGGAAAAAAAAGGTAATATAGCATGTACCATTGCTATACAAGCCATATTGTAATTGAATGTTATTAAAAATTCCTGTTTCATTCTGCAGCCACTGTAATTTTTTGTAAAATTCAATGCAATATGGCAACTTGGAGGTGTTCTGTACACAGTTGGTGTACAGAACTTCTCCAGAAATTTCCTGCTAATGTCGTTGGCTCACTGATTTTCCTAAAGTCTGCGCTAAGTTACGAGTCAGATTTTAGGCATCCTCTGCAACAAAAATTTTATTTTTGAGGACATGCTCTCAAAGGATTAATAGCTTTAAAAGGAGTTCTGATACAGCAACTTTCCTCATTGCAACACAAGTGCATCAGCTGCTTAATAATGAAAAAAAAGTCTCTCCCGTTGAGAATCAGTATCTAAACTACAAACAGCTTTTTCTTCAGAGCAGAAACAGGTAGGAACCTATGACATAGTTTAGTTTGTTAAAACTTTGAAATGAACATTTGTCACCCAGAGATTGTTTGTTTTAATAAACAAAAGTGGACTTACTCTTTAACATGAGTAACATCAGTAAACTGTGACTCAGAATCAGTTAGAAGCTGCTAAGGCCTCAGTTAAATCAGATATACCGAATCTGCTAGAGAAGGCATGGGAATGTACTCATGGCCTCTGTCATCAGAATCAGCAAACAACTGGGTAATTTGAGTCCTGCATGATCGTGGTACAAATTTCATCTGAAAGGAAAAAGGACTTAACTACATCAGACAGAGCAATGAAGGACTTTGAAGATGGGAGAAACCAACAGCAGAGAACAAGACTCCAAGCTGCAGATGTTGGCAGCAGCATGGACCTGAAAAGCATTCTGCAGCTAACTAAACCAAAACTGAAACTAGAAAGTGTCCCATGTGTAATTCAGTGCCCGAAGGTCACTTTCCAGGATGGTCCCACATTGTATAGTCCAGCGGGGTCTGAATGCGGTATGGTCTAAAAGCCAGGCTAGGGACAATCTGGATGCTGGATAGTTGCAAATCATAATGGAAACCCATAGCAGTGGTATAGAGCAAGAAAAAAGCACATGAAGAAGAAAATGCTGGAAAAATCACAGGTTAGTCTTAAAGCAACAGAGCTAGAGAAAAAACAAGGATGCTAGTCAGAAAACTGAGGCATGCTGGTAGTAAGGAGAGATTATACACATGGCTAGCCTATAGTTTTTTTTTTTTGTTTGATAGTGGCCAATCCTTCTGTGGACAGCTGTATATCCTAAAGCTGTAAGACTCAATGGGGGCGATTTACTAAAGTGGTGCACACAGAATCTGGTGCAGATATGCACAGTAACCAATCAGCTTCTAACTTCATCTTGTTCAATTGAGATTTGACAATAAACCTGGGATGCGGATTGGTTACCATGCACAGCTGCACCAGAGGCTGTATGAACCAGTTTTATTAAATCTCCCCCACCGTGTCCTGCAATGGACAAGAAAGGATCCTATCCTTTCAGCCCTAAATCCAATCGCTGTCAAAAGCTTGTACATTTCACCTCCAAAACATCTGTAAAATTTACCCCTTTTAAACTAATGAAACCCCAAGCTACTCATTCACTCCCTTGTTATCTCTTGCCTTGATTATTGCAACTGCCTTCTCATAGGCCTACCTTTCCATAGGCTATCCCCTCTTCAGTGTATCATGAATACTGCTGCCAGAATTATCTACCTTACCAACTACTCAGTATCTGCCACTCCTCTCTGCCAATCCCTCCAATGGAAAATTAAATCCAAAATATTAACAACAACATACAAAGTTTTTCACAACCCTGCCCCAAGCTACATCACCAATCTTGTCTAAAAAATCACTCAAAACTATCCTCTCATGACCTCCTACTCTCAAGCTCTCGTCTCCTCCTCCCATGTTCATCTCCAGGACTTCGCCAGAGCCTCTCCCATCCTCTGGAGCGCTCTACCTCAATCTGTCCGGGTATCTCCTACTCTGGCTGCCTTTAGGCGATCCCTGAAAATTCATCTCTTCAGGGAAGCCTATCACGCCTCGAACTAGACGTTTATCACTTCCACCAGCTCATCCCACACAGGGATAACTTATAACTCTTTGTACCACTTGCCCCACCCTATTAGAATGTAAACTCTTATAAGCAGGGCCCTCTTAATCCTCTTGTTTGTTATTGTATTGTAACTGTACTGTCTCCCTTTATATTGTAAAGCACTGCACAAACTGTTGGTGCTAAATAAATACTATATAATAATAATCCCTACTCTTTTCATTTAAAGGGGAAGCTCAGCTTCAAGTCCTCATCCCCCTTCTCTGCCATATCAGTTTGGAGTGGGGGGATGATGAGTACCTGCTCCCTCTGAGTAGTTTTGAGGAGTACCTGCTCCCACTTCCGCTCAGATTGACCAGGCGATCTAAGCGGAAGTTCTCCTCCTCCCCCTCCCTGGAGTCTTCTGGAACGTCACAAGTCCCAGAAGACTGCAGGACCATTCTCAAAGTGCAGAGCGGATTGTGAAGTGGGCAGCCGACTGTGAAGCTGAAAGCAACATAGCTGGCTGTCCACAGTTAGGATGCCAGTGCTTAAGGCTAGTGAAGAACTGGCCTGGGTGAGGACAGCACTGGATCCCTGAACAGGTAAGTATATTTTCATTAAAGTCAGCAGCTACAGGGTTTGCAGCTGCTGACTTTTTTTCCCCAGAGTGAAGATCTGCTTTAAGTAACTGCCTACATTACACTAACAGGGACCACAGAGGTACATTATAGTGAAACAGAAACATTCAAGGTTGAAGTCTTAGCATTACCCTATATACATCTTCTACACCAGGGCAATCAAGCAGAGGCCTAGTTTCTGATAGTAAACTCCCCTAAAAAAGCCACCATAAAGCAGCATTCATTTGTTGGTGGAATTGGAATTCTTAAGATTCTCACATCCATAGTGATGAGATGTCTCTCCTCTGTTCTATTGTTACAGTCCTAAGGCAGAACATATAAAGAAACAGAAACTCCCTTCGGTCATCCAGGCGATCTTTCTTCCCTACAATAATAAAAGCGATAAAAAAAAAGTCCTGAAATACTAATGTGTCCTGCGTGACACTGTGTAGAGCAACAATGATAACTGGTCATGTGACCAAATCTGGCATCACAGACAGAGCTGCTGATATCCTGGCTCTGCCCGGACACAAGTCATCTACAGTCTTACATGATCAATGTTAAGTAATTTAGTCATGTGACCAGCTACAATAAAAAACTAAAATCAAGGTTTTTGGCTTTTTAGTGATTATTATTAAAAGTGGCTGGATGGGAAAGTGGGGGGATTTCATTTCTGTATCAGTGTAAACCTAAGGCCTGGTTCACACCTATGTGTGTTGAGATTGATATGTTTTTCTTAGCATTAATGGTTAGGGTTAGCAGTAAATGGTGGGATTAGGGTTAGCATTAGCACTCTAACCCTAACATTTAACTCTAACCCAAACCCTTAACCCTAACCTTAACATTTAACCCTAGCCCTTAACCCCAACATGCTACAGCATCCGGACACAAAGTCCCATGAAAAGCTGCAGCCCATTGATGGCAATGGAACTCCTTCAAATCTATGCCTCCAAAGTCGCAACAACTTTGAAGATGTTCCTGCACTACTTTAATGTGACTTGAATGCCAGAGAGTGTTAAGATGCATCAAAGTCACACTCAATACTTTCCTATTGGCAAAAAAAAATGCAGAAACGCATAAAAAACACAACACTTGCGCTGTTGGTGAGGTTCTATTGAAGTCTTAAGCACTCAAAATGCGATCTGATGCGGGGAAAAAGTCCCTGATCCTTTCCAAAAATTTAGCAGCAGAAAAAGCTTTGATATGAATGTGGAACCCATGTTAAATGGACTGTAGTGCGTTTCTGCAAAATGCAACATGCACTAGTACAAGTGAAAAAAATGACTAATACCTTTAGAACTAAGCAACATTCACCTTAAATTACTGTAAATTGTACAGTGGTTTGATGATTAAGCATTTTTATCTTACTGTTGCAATCACTGTTCTACAGAACAGCTGAGGAAAGTTTATATGAAGACATAACAAAATCAGTTAAAACCTTCACCGAACTCCTTTTTACTGCAGAAATATTTAAGGGTTTTCTCATATCAGTTTCTGCAAAATTAACATTTGTCAGTTATGACGGCTGTGCCCTGACAGTAATCTGACAGCTCTGGATTACATGCTACATTTAATCCATCACAATAAACTCAGGCAATTTTGACATGAAGAAAATAGAAGTTGCTCACTTGTTGGCAAACACATTTAAAGCTTCTCTCTTTGCTTAAAATTTAGAGCACATTCTGAGCATGTGTTTCCACTTAAACAAGTCCGTTTCCATCTCCCCGGGCCACATCCTACTCGTTTAATGGTCCAAAACATGTTGTCTGGCATGAGAAAGCAGCTTAGATGGGGAGGACTTGCATTAATATAAATCAGAAGGGAAGGAGCATGCAGCTTTTCAACCATTCTTAAACTATATGATAGATGTCAGTAGGTCCAATAGAAAAAAAAAAAAAAAAGATTTTATTTTTCTTTTTTTTTTTTAAATTGATGAAGAGCTCAATCAACGTATGCTTGCAGATGCATGTGGTTTAAATAGGAGCAATGAAATCATTATGCTAACTAGTATTTGGGGGAATAGGGAAGCATACATCCAGATGATTAACAAAGTATTTGCCTTTGTACCTGGCAGTGAAACACATATTCTGGGGTTGTCTTCTTGTATTTCATGTTCCACACGAGTGCCACACCATCTGGTTCATGAGGGGCGTCATCGTTGTTGTTGTAGGATGCTACAAGCAGCTCGGGGTACTGGACAGGTGGAAAACACAGATGACCATGAGGAAAAACCATGTAAAAAAAAAAAAACTCCAGTGTAACTAAAACTTATCAGGTTTTTTAAATAGGGAACTACTTAAACCATAAAATAAAAACAATTACACTTACTTTCTGTACTATGCTTTAATAAGCAATAGACAATGTGCAAAATAATACAGTCAATCAGAATTCGTAAAATCTCATAAAAATGTGTTTGCAACACCAGTTATGTTGTGTTACTGACACTTGGCATTAGGTCATATGGTACCTTACTCCTATTTACAATAAATGTTGATAAAACTGAATTAGGTTGATCCCATTGGTGCAATGGCTTAGTTTGCTCTGCATGGGCATTCTACATGGCATGTTAAGCTGTACTTGGCTTTGGAAAATTAGTATGACAAATTCACTCTAAACTCCTGAGATATTTATATATCCATTGTGGGAGCTCTTCCCGCTCTTTTATAAACGGAAAATTATTTTGTAACTTCAATCGCTGTCCACGGATGTAATTTTGACCTGTTGTGGAGAACTTCAGTATAGACACAGATTTCGCATAGATTGGCCAATAAGAAACATTAACTGTGTGTAACATCTAACTGTGTGATTTATTTAAAGAAGCTGTCAGGACAGTTACAAGGAAGCTGCCATTGCTAAAATGGATTTGAAGGTGCAGGTAGAAGGGCTGTCATTTTTATTTTTCTTCACTTCTTGAAAAGCTACTGAACTAGAATATCAGAAGACAGGACAACTCACCTGCATCTTTGTTCAAGATTAGTGGCTCAAAAAGCAGTAAAGCAAGGATAAGGAATACAGCCCTGTAGTATGCACCTTTAAAATTACAACAGCAATTAATCTGGCCTGACAGGCTTCCTTTAAGGAATATAGGGACAAACTAAGATGTGTTTTATATATTTACATAGATTATATCTTTAAATGAAAGGTCATCATGCTCCACTGCCATTGCTCTGTGTCTCTGCCAAGTTAATAAGTCTTAGCTGTGTTGTGCTTTATTAGCATTTAACAAGCAACATAAATCCTAAATGCACCACTGTAATGGTTTTCCCTTGTGCTGCTGAAAAAAATTGACCTTTACATCGACCCATAAAATGGCTCACAATTTTCACCTCCATTTGAAATAATCTGGAGGCGACAGGAGTTCACTGAAGGTTCCAATAGTAACCAACCCTAAGAGCCTTTTTTCCCCAGTCACATGACTCTCAGCATATGAAATCTTTATTAAAAAGGTCCAAGATTCCCAAAAAGATGAATGAGGACAGTGATAGCATACATTAAATCTATCACAAATAAATTCATTATCTTTATAGTATAATTCTGGCCAGACACTACTTTTATTCCCCCAAATCTTCTGGCCAGTCCTGTCACAGGTCCTTCTTTTTTCTGCAGTGGGTGCTCTTGTAAAAGAGAAGTTCACGAATCGTGGAAAAAAAAACCCCCCCCAAAAACAGTTATACTAACCTAGATGGCAGTTGTCCTTCGCCTTCTCTAACACTGAAAACTGAGTGATCAAAGACTGCTGATTACTCAGTTCTCACTCTTCAGAGAACTGGTGACTGTCAATCACAGGCTCCCTGCTTTGCCCCTCCAGTGCTCACTGGAGTGCTGGGCTGAGGAAGGGGGGGGGGGTTGGATGCAGCTGGCTCAGGCTATCAGTGGCTCACTAGAGGCTGAGCCAGCTGCCGTGAAGGCATCTCGATGGTCCCTGACATTAAAAGTTGGATCATTTCAGAGCCTGGACCAGAAGAGTGGTTTTCGGGATGGCTGAAAGCAGGTCACAGGAGCGCAGAGTGCAGTGCACTGGGATCCATAAGAGATCACAGAGCTTTGGCGTACTTCTTTAGTGAAACATGAGTGACGCATAAAGCAATAGTACACACTGCTGTGTTGACACACCTCCATCTCCTGGAGGCAGGTCCCATGGCAGCTGGGGCTCAGAGGAAGTGGGTTGAATGAGCCTAGCTGTCTTTCTACAGAGTCAAAATCTACCGGAGGAGAGAACTTTCGGTGGAGGACAGCAATGGGCTATTAAATTTTTTTTCTATTTTGTAAAACAAGTTCTCCTTGAAACATAACTTATGCTATACATTTATTAATATAAAAATGGTATTCATATCAGACAAAAAGTTCTCTGAAAAACTGTTTAAAAAACCCCCCTAAAAAGTTTCATTATTATTCTGCAAGTAGAGCATCAATATATGAAAAAACTGCCATGCTCTCGATTAAAATGCAGCCAGAACCATTTTATCAAATAAAGTTCTTTGTTTCCTAGCTCCCTGAAATCTTTCATAACATCAGAAATTCTTATTCTCAGTACCTGAGAGGACCAATCCAGGCAGCTAACAACACGATGCTTTGACCAACGCTCATCAAAAAAAACTGTCTATTCAGAGACAACTTTGCACCTGCTTGTGTTTCTCTGTAAAATAAATAGCTTGATTAGAAAAGTAAATTATTTTAAATGAGTAGTAAATTGAAGTAATGTAAAATAATAATTACCCTTCTTTATCTTCCAGATCTCTACCACTGTAATCAAAGAAAATGTTGATCTGTTCTGAAAGGGCACGCTCCACAATTCTTGTGCTGTGGTCAAAGAAACTGATGAACTCCTCAGTGTGAATGATCTGTTGTTTCTCCTCTTCTGTGAGCTCATGTGGTGGGTCTGGAAGATCATTACAAACCTGGGTAACTAGGATAACATGTTACCAGCATGTGACAGAAATCCACTACCACAGGCTACATACAGATGGTCATAATCGCATAAACAGCACTCAGATCAAGATCCAATGGAAAGTTCTCAGCAAAAGTTAGTGCACAGCTTCTAGTAAACCTGTGGGCATAGTTTTGCCAATAAACTGGCACTTCATCAGCTATGTTTTCCAGTAGTGTGTCCTGGAAGACCAAAAACCAGAGGCACAGAGTTGTGCAAGCATCCATTGTCAAGGGCTTTGGCCTACCAATTCATGCTCTTCAGTACTGGTCACTCAGGCTGCCCCACCATAGTGAAGGCTCAACTGTAAGGTGTGGGAGGCTGCCCTATCACAGTGATGGGTCAACAGTAAGGAGTGGGAGGCATGAGGGAGCAGACCAGAGCCCATGACCACAGCAGCTTATCACTATTTGTATTATTGTGATCCCTAAATGTCAAAAGCCCTGTGCCCTAGAGGAAAGCCTATCTTGCGTGTAATGCAAATACCATTCTAATGACCCTATGGCGTTCAATGGTACACTTTAAAAAGAACTTCCAGCAAATACTCAAATATCTTTTGCTCATACATACGTTGCATTATTATGCATCATTGATCATGATATTTCTAAACTGTTATGTGGAATTATGTGCAAAGTTCTCTTGTAAGTGCATATCAATTAATACATGTTATAAGTTTTAAATATACTGCACTATGGTATACTTCTATTCTATACGAGCATAACACAGAAGGAGAGGGGATCGTGATGTAAAGGGCCAGACCACCACATTTTGGGGACTCATTCATCACATATCCAAGCACAATAGGAATAGTGCTGCTGATGTGTGGAAGTGGAGTCACCAAGAAAAAGTCCCAAATTAAAGGGAAAAAAGGCACTTTAAGTGACAGGTCCATCTTTTGAGGTGAGTGTGGTGGTGAAAGGTGGCGGGTATCACTACGCACACATCTGACAATCACAAGAGGGGTGACACAGTGGAAAGGACTGTGAGGTTTAACCCACTGTTAATTTAAGAAGATAAACACATCTTTTATGGACATATATATATATATATATATATATATATATTATATATATATCTTTTTTTGTGTGACAATTGGATATGTATAATGATTTAATATTATGCAGAGAGTTTCAAATATTGGTTGATTGATCTATATTTGGAAGGCGCAACTTTATTTTTTATGTTATGTGGAATTACTTTAAGGCTGAACGCCCCACAGATAAGCTTAGTTTACCTGCATTTTTATTAGAAAAATAACATTTATTTTAAACTAGTTCTAGCACATTCACCTAAATTGGGGGCAGTACAGTGGCCAAGTGGTTAGCACTTCTGCCTAGCAGCACTAGGGTTGTCGGTTTGAATCCCAACCACAGCTGCCTGGAGTTTGTATGTTCTCCCTGCATGGGTTTCCGCTGGGTACTCCAGTTTCCTCCCACACTCCAAAGACATGCTGGCAGGTTAATTGGCTTATGTCTAAATTGGCCCTGGTATGTATATGTATGAATGCGAGTTAGGGACCTTAGATTGTAAACTCCTTGAGGGCAGGGGCTGATGTAAGATGTAAATGTACAATAAATAAATACAATAAATAATATATATATATATATATATATATATATATATATATATATATATATATATATATATATATATATATATATATATATAAGAAATTGACGGCGCTATACAAGTACCTGTAATAAATCATTTTTTATAAAAATATTACAATGTCAGCCTCCTGTAGCCCTGCACTGCAACGCTAAGACAGGAAGAGGACAGGGCAGCAGTGTAAGCCATTCAGGGCTGAATTACTTTGCATAGTGGTTAGCAACATGTTCCAGCACCTTCACTGTCCAATCAGAGGTGAGGCAAGTCCTACACCAGACAATATTCAGAATATTTCATTAATCCCAAAGGGAAATAAGGGAATTACCTATGAGTGTAGTCTACAAAGAGGATCAGAACCTGTAAATTAAGCATAACTGGAGTGCCTGAATCACAGGGCTGGCTGAGCAGAATTACAAATGCTTTAGCAGCTGGCACAGTCCAAACAAATTTAGATTTCAGCAGCTTAGCGGTTTGCCAGGAGTTCAACCTTCTCTTCACAATGACTTTTTTTTTCACTTCCTAGCACACTAACAAACAATTCAAGAGAAATAATTGTAGTGTCAGTCTAAAGTGTTCA